CTTCCATTTATATAATGTACATTAAGAACATAAGCAAGCTGTACAAGATAGTATGAGCTCAATTTATCAAAGAAAATAAAGACAACATAAAATGGCTCAATTACTGCATTGACAGAGGGCAACCATAAAAGAATTTTCAGACAACCAACATGTATCGAACTGCCAGACATAACAAAGTGTAAAATAAGAAATATCAAAAAACCACTAGAATTTATAGAGAAGTGAAATGCGTCTTACCGGCAAAGATTCCATTGAATTTCCATTTCACACAGTTTCTGATCTGATTGACTTTGAGCGTTGCATTTTCATTCGAACCAGCTTGAAGAGAAGGGTTACTCCTTCATGCTGAAGAACTGAAGTAGTTGCGTTCAGTAAATGGAATTTGTATAGTGTTTTGGGATCAATTAATTGAACCCTGTTATGGTTTGCTTTAAATGAAAATAGAGGAAAACATTGGGAACCGAACTGCAAAAGAATCCCAACAGAAAATTGCAGACAAAACATTGTTCCTGTTCTCACTTCTCAGATATTTATGGAATTCCAGAAAATAATTTGTTTCTTAAAAACAATTGTGAAAAGCCTATGAAAGAGAGCATGATTATCTCATTTCTATTTGGAGAAAACATTTGACCCTTAAAACAGAAGAAATCCTTAATCCTATCACAGTCATTAGGTTAATTCTAATCTACTGCTCTAACACAGAAAACAAAACACTTAATGAGTACTGAAAGTTCATTGTTGATGAGATTTACTTACATGAATCAAAGGCATAAACTTTAAGCAAGTTGTTTCCCAATTCTTCATGCGTTTCCTGGATCTGCTCCGCAAAAATCACCAGAGAAAGACAGCATTTATGTAACTCAATTAGCTGCAGCGTCACACTATCTGCAAATCCTTCTGGGATCTCTTGTAAGTATACGCAATCTCTGATGTATACACGCTCAAGGCATTGGAAATAATCATCGGTGGCTGTCCAATAACTAAGAAACAGATGCTCAAGGAGTAAGAACTTCAATTTTGGAAATCCCATCTCTGTTACTTCCCACTCAATGCCAACGAAGGCATGATCCTTCAGTTCTAGCACCTCGAGATTGGGCAACTTGCTAAAAATGTTCATGCAGTTCCATGGAAGACAAGTACCGCTAAGTGTCAACTTCTTGAGATTTGGTGGGAAAGAACCTGGACTTGGATTTATTGAACGCGGCACAGCGTTGGACCTGAACATAACAAGACGGTGCCAAACTGCAACATTTAGTGTTTCTAGCTCTTTTAAATATTTAAGATTATTTTCCCATCCCGTCGTACTATGAAATTCCTCTGCTTTACCAGCAATTTCCAATTTCTTTACTTTCTTAATCCCTTCAAATACTTCCTTTGTGCAACAAGAAGGTGTCAACCCAGAAACAGTTTGTATGCTTTCCAAAACCAAGTTCTTCACCTTATTTCCTGATACCGTCTGAGGAGATTCCAAATACATACACCAGCAATGGAGATGCCTTAACTGAGATAATTTCCAAATTTCATTTGGTAAGGACATGCTCCAATCACTAATGTATGATAGTGGCCGAACAGTGAGAGTTTGTAAATTCAGAAGTTTAGAGATTGGTAATTGTCCAGACCTTTTAAATGTCAATGCCAAATACCTTAAAAAAACTAGGTCTAGTATAGCTATGGGGAAATCGAAAAAACGATTTTCCTCCATGTCCAATACCCTGAGAAGTTTGAAATGAAAGTGTGCTACGTCAAGGTACATATCAGAATGGTAAAGAGACAAGGAACGCAATTTGCTATGATCAAGATTATAGAATCGACTGCTAAAATGAGTGGAGCGCTCTGATTTTCTTAATATCCACCTACAACCTTGAGGGAAAACCAATCCAGGTCCAGCATTATCGGTATTTTCAATATACAAAAGACTCTGGCGGTCGGCTTCTCTCAAGCAGAAATCATGAACAAGATCATGAATCAAACATGTCATGATTTCCCCATCCATACTTCGCTTGCTAACAATAACTAGACTTTTATCAATAAGATAATCTAAATGACTAGCAGCCACTTTTTCCAATCTCTCCATCCCCTTTACTTTTAGGAGTCCCTCTGCAATCCATAATCTAATTAATTTTCCCACAGAAATTTCACTAGCTTTTGGAAAAAGTCCAAAATACAGAAAGCTACCTTTCAAATAAGAAGGAAGATGATTGTAGCTTAAAGCTAGCACTCCTGAGCATTGTCGATAAGCATCAACGTCTGCTAATGAGCTCACACTTTGAGCTACTTTTCTCCACTCATCCAATGTCCTCTTGCTAGAGAGAATCTTGGCAACCACAGCAATCATAAGTGGTAATCCTTTGCAGTTTCTAGCAACCTCCTTTCCAACATTCTCAAATTCAACTGGAAAACAATTTTCTGCAAATGCTTTTTGATAAAACAAATTCCAACTGTCATCTGGGTTAAGTAAATGCATCCTGAAAGGATCCTTAGAAGAGCTAGCATATTGAGCAACCTCAACGTCTCGAGTAGTCAACAATACCCGACTTCTTATACCATAGTCTGGAAGACACAGTCTAATATCATCCCAAGCTTCCTTGCTCCATATGTCATCCACAACAATCAAATACCTTCGACCCTTTAAACCTTTCTTCAAGCGATCTGCTAGTACTTGATCGCTTTTGTTTTCAAGCTCTTCTTCCTTCGCAATATTAGCATCTTTAAGGAGGCCTAAAAGCATCTTTCTAAAACTATAGTCCTCAGACACAGTAACCCATCCGCAAATATCAAAGAAGCTCAAAATTGAGGGATGAGAAGACAGATTTTTGGCAAAAGTTGACTTACCAATGCCGCCCATACCTGTAACAGATATGACTTCCAATGGAGCTGAGCCTCCGGTAAGTTGACTCAGCATGTTTGCTTGTTCAATGTTGTACCCCACCATATCGTTCTCAAGGGTTGGAGCATGCAATCGTGGTGAACTTGAATCACAAAGCGAGGAATTTCCAGCTTGCAAATTTTCATTTTGACTGTGTTTGATGAGTCCTTCCTTGAGGGAATCAACCTTTTCTATAGCTCGTTGTAAGATCTCAAAAAGACTCTCGAGGGCTTCCTGTTGATGGAGTCCGTCATGTTGTTCATCCATTACCACTTGCATCTGTGATTCAACTTCGTCTTCTACTTCATTTGCTATATGTTTGACTTCAGCGTGCAAATTCTCCGTTTGTTCAGCATCAGAATTATCAAGGAGCTCGTGCAGAGAATCAACCTTTTCGTAGAGTAAATTCAAACTTTTCAAACTAGTGTCCCCTAGATTTAAGTTTGAATGCAAAAGCTGAAGCTGTTGTATCGTTCCGATTAGAGAAGTCAGTGCAACATATGCAGCCATCTCTCTCTTTATACTTCTGCAGTAAAGGATCTATAGATTAGCAAATGAAGCAACATGTACTCAATATACACTTGAATTGGCAGGCATGACAAATAGTAAGATTGAACTGTATCACATATCAGTTGTCATTTTCTTTGGATAGGTAACAAGTTGTCAACTTTTTTAAGGCTTAATACATACTTTACCTGTCTAACTTGCACAAAGTTTCTTTTACCCACTTTTTCTTTGGGGGCAACCTATTACATACCTTAGTTAGCCACTTCATAAATCTTGTTCTTGTTCTCTACAAAGTGAACATTAGCACTAAAGCTCAAAACTGAAAAGCTTTTATCTTTAGCTCCAAAGGTGTCCGTAGTGTTGTTCCCATATTCTAATACATAAACTTATTTGTTTCTGCTTCTCCAGACCACTTGATTTAAATATTCTCAGCTTTTCATTAACATTTATTAAATACTTAGCAAATAACAACACAAGAGTATACGAATACAACAGTGCACAAAAATTACTTCTTCTAAATATCTTCCCCTTAAAAAGCACACGAAGTTAGGTTCTTACCTTAAGCCAACTACTTTTCCCCTGTTAGATGGTGCATCTAGCTACGAATCAGAGGCGAACCCAGAATTTAAAAATGGAGGGGCACTACTATCTTTAATTTAGACGGAGGTGAGGAATTCATGTTATTCCCGGTCAATATTGCTGTATTTGTAAATATTAATTCTGCAAAATATAAGTTAACG